GTTGGTTTTCCCCAGCAGTTTTGACTTGGTGGTTTGGTTTGACTAGGACAAGCTGGTGACTGTGTGTCGCTAGTCCTGATGCCCCAGGCCACCAGCTCCACAGCCCCCAGTGCCCAGTCCTCAAGCCCATGCTGGGACCAGCTCTGGCAGGCTGAGGGACCTCATGTTCCTTTGGTTTGTGGAGGGGGAAGACTCTTGACCATTCTGGCTGGTGTACCTCCCACCCCCTTTTGACTCCAGCATGCCAGGCCCTGTGGCAGTGCTTGCTGTGATGCCCCACGCCCCCAATGGGGGGCTGCCACCCCCCCTGCCATGCCCCCACACTCACCACAGCGCGCATGGCCAGGCCCCGCGCGCCCGGGGGCAGCTGGTAGCACCGTCGGTCTCCAAAGGCAGGTTTGGACAGTGCAGCATCCCTAGAGAAAGGGCAGAGGGCAGGGGGTGAGGACCCCCATGCCTCCCACCCTGTGCCTCCCACCTTGTACAGTTTCAGAAACAGGAGGACACACCAGGACAAGTGTCTGAGCCAGGACAATGGGGCACTCCTGAGCCACCCAGCATCACTCTGGGAGGTCCTACAGGCCCAGGCTGGCTCTGGGAGATGTGTTTCAACACCCACTGCTCCCCTCATCCCAGTCTGGGATCAAGTTGTGTCACTCTTTTCCAAAGCAGCTTCCTCAGGGATACCCTGCTGGCTCAGGCTGTTCTTGGGACAATGTCCCAGAGCTGGCTAAGCTGAAGCTTGTCCCTGAAGCCACACTTTGGGGCAACAGCTGCTCCTGTGACTCCCTCACTGCTCCTGGCAGCTGCAGGCAGCTCCCTCTGTGCCTTGCCCCCAGCACGAGCAGGTAAAGGGGTGGGATGGGAGATGACCTGGGCAAGGCACATTTGTCTCCTTTGTGCACAGAGGTGCTGCAAAGTGACCAGTGTGGCCCCAGATGTGGCCCAGGCTCCAGCCAAGCCCCTTTCCCAGATAACTCTTTGGGAATGCACCTCCCAGCCAGCCTGGCACAGCTGGGCACACCTGGCTGAGGGACAGACCCACCTGAAGGGACCATAGAAGCATGAAGCAAACTTGGCACTGTAGCTCATCACCGAGACCTGCAGGGCAGAGCAGAGTGGTGAGGGCCAGAAACTCAGTGCCATATCCTGGCACTGGGACAGCACAGACTCCCTCCCATAGCTGTTCTGTAGTCTGCCCCACATCTTCCTCCCTCTGCCAAGGGCCTGGCACCTCACCCTGCCCATGCCCAGCCGAGGACATTCCCTCCCTGTGTGCACCAGGGCAGGGAGATTCCCATGGCACATCCTGGGCTAGCCCAGGCCCCTGTGCTACGGCGTTGCTCCTGCCTCTGGCACACACAGGTCCCAAACTCACCTTGTTGCCCAGGTCATTGGAGATCAGTGCCTGCTTCATGGCTGCAATGCGCCCATCCATCATGTCTGAGGGGGCCACGATGTGGCAGCCTGCAGGGAAGGACCAGGGATGCTGGGAACTGCCCAAGGCTTTGGCTCTCCCCAGTGTGGGGAGGGCAGGGGAGCACTCCAGGCTCAGTTTGATTTTGGGTGTGCTCAAAGCAAGAGAGGCACAAGTCTTTGGGGGCCCAACTGGCTGCACCGTGCTCCCCACCTGCTTTGGCATAGGCCAGTGCCACTTCTGCCAGCCTCTGGCAGCTGAGCTCGTTCTGGATGGTGCCATCCTCACGCAGGATACCTGGGAGACAAAGCTGGGGTCACATGAGGGGATGGACAGCCAGGTGCCTTGACCCCCAGGTGGGAATGTGGCTCTGGGGACAAGCTGTGGAGATGGTCAGAGCAACACTGGGGAATGTGTTAAGGGAGATGGGTAAGGACCAGGAGCTCTCCAGGGACTGGACACAACACGTGGGTGCTCCAGGGAAGGGAGGACAGAGACAGGGACATAGAGGGGTGCTCAGACACACTCAGATGGGCAGAGGGAGGGCTTTAACCACCAGTGTCTCCTCCCCTGCTCTCCCAGGCTCAACTACAGCAGTACTGGGAAGCCAAGTGGTGTGCTAGACCCCACAGCACATGGAGCCTCTGAGCAGAAAATGGCAAATGCCTGGAGACTCCTGGAGACAGAAGAACACGTGAAGCCCAGCCCAGGCCCCAGGTGTGCTCACCGCAGTGCCCATGTGAGGTGTAAGGACACAGGCACACATCACAGGCAATGAGCAGCTCTGGGAAGATGGAGCGGATCTTCCTGATGGCCTGGATGGCAGGTGTGCCCTCAGCATCAGCAGCAGATCCTCTCTCATCCTGTCAGGAGAGAAATACCTCAGCACACACAGCTGGCACTTGCCACTGGCTCCTCCTTGGCAGCAGCTCTGCCCAGGAAACATCCCTGAACCACAGACCCTGCAAAGCAGGATGGTGTGACCCCTGACAAGGGAAAAGGGTGATGGAATAGCACCTCTGAGCATCCAGTGCAGGTCCTGGGGCCACCTGCAGGAGCTCTGAGGGCTTTTTGGGTGTCACTGCAGTCTCTTGTCCGCACCTGCTCTGCTGAGTGGGCTGTAAGCAGAGACCCTGAACTGTTCCTGTTTGATCAGAAGAGCCCTCCCAGCCCCACGCTGCTCTCCCACACCCCTGTGGCTACCCCAAGCCCCAGCCAGCACCATACACTGACCTTGTGGACCTTGCTGGGCACCCCAAAGATCAGCACACACTTCAGACCGTCTTCAACAAGGGGCTGCAGCATCCCCTCCAGCTTGTTCACTCCATACCTGAGCAGAGCAAAGTGAGGGGAGAGCTGCCAGGCTCCCAGACCTGCTCCATGTGACTGGGATGCTGCTCTGTAAGCAATCCAGCAGCCACACCAAGCTGGATGTACATGGGAGGTGTCTGAACATTGGGAGGAACAATCTGGACCCTTATGTGAGGCTACAGCAGTGTTATCTGCCCAGCATGGACACTGCTCTGAAAGGACGAGCATGCCCTGCCCTTGGGTCCCTTATCTTGGTGTCCCTGTTGCAGTTCCAGCCCACCTCTACATCAGAGCACCCCATGGGGCCTCTGAGCACAGCCCTGTGGCAGCAGATGGAGACAGGAGCTGCCAGTCCAGCAGGATCCAATGCAGGACCAGAGCTCACATCCTTGCACAGGTTTTCTGGCTGCTGCTGGAAATCCCATTCACATCCACCTTCCCTGTGTGCCCCACCCACACAACATGTGAGTGCTCTGGGACACCAAGGTGCTGTCCCTCCCAGTACTGGCATTTTCCCAGCATGATTCTCTCCACTCCCTTAGTGGATGAATGTTCCTGCCCTGTCTGATGCCAGGGGATCCCCAAGGCAGGGACCAGAGGGTTGGAAGCATCCCCTCAAGCCATAAATCAACCTTGCTCAGACACGGGGCATGGCAGTGGCTCAGCAGGGCTGGATTCATACCTGGCTTGTCCAGGAAGGCTGGGAATGGGCTCCACGGCATCAGGGCTGTCCCTGTGGGAGGTGGATAGGACAGAGACATGAGGACTCAGTGTGAGAAGGCAGCCCCAATCCCAGGCTTGTCCACAGGGACTTTGAACCTCAGGGAGCCAGTCACCCTGAGCCAGGGCTCACTCACGTGACAAAAATGGGGTAGATGAGGTTGGAGGCATCGAAGGTGGTGGCTGTGCACTGCCAGGAGCGCAGCACGGGGTGGAAGTAGCCGCTGTGAAGGACAGAGTCTGCCTGCATCGCGGGCCTGAGCTGGAGCCTGGGCAAGGAGACTCTGAAACACCAAAACACACCCACAGGGTCCTGGTTAGCTGCTGCTGTTGGTGCATGTGAGGAGGGGCTGAGATCCAGGAATGTCCCTCTCTTGTGCCAGGCACGAGCTGCAGCCCAGCCAGCTCCAACCCACCTCCCCGGGGTGCTCCCTGTGCTAGGTGGGTGCTGCAGGACCCTGGCAGCAGTCACACCATGGCACTATCCATAAACAGGAATGGGAGAAGCCCCTCCCCACAAAACCTCCTAGTTCTGTGTATGAAAGCCCCATTTCCAGCCACTGACATCTTCCCACAGCAGAACCACCTTCACCCCTCACAGGCTCCTCTGCCTGAGCTCCCAGAGCTGTAACAGCAGTTCTTGAACTCCAAGAGGGTCATTGCTTCATTCATTTCACTTTTCCTTAGTGCTAACCCTGTATACAGCTTTCATATGCAGAGTAGAAGAGCTGCTCTATCTTGGAACTCAGTGATCTTTAAGGTCCTTTCTAACCCAAACCATTCCATGATTCTCTGCAGTATAACATCTTTATGGTCACAATGTGAAGGTGCAGTGACAGAAGAGTAGGGGCACTGGGTGAGAGGTACAGGATCATCCTGTGTTCACCAGAGCTCTAAAACCCACTGTCACACAAGTCCAGTAGCCACTTACTGTTGGATAAAAAAACCAGGGAGTTGGGCAAAACTGTTTCCAGAGGTAACAAGGAGCAATTAGTCAATACACAGAAAACAAGTGTTCACTGTGCTATTGTTGAAACTCCTTCTGTAGCAATATTTTCTTCTTCTCCATCAGGTCTAGTAATAATTCTGTGATTAGACCAACAAGATTTAAACTTCCATTAGCACCAAATCCTCCCCTGCATTGCTGGTGGGATGGAGGGGCTGGGGGAAGGCAGCTGCCCTGGGATGAGGCATTTGGCTGCAGCACAGCCTGGAACAGCTGCATGGCCCTGGGCAGCACAGCCCCAACAACAGACTGTTTGTGCAGAGCAGCTTCAAGGACCTTTCTGCTGGCTGCACACACAGGGCCACAGCCCCAAACACCCTGCACAGAGGAGCTGGGATGTCCTGGGAGACAAAGCAAAGTCCCTATGGGAGAGCATGGATTTTGGGAGCTGGAAACTGAGCGAGGTGGACAGGAGAGCTGAGACAGGTTCTGAAAGAGCAAGTAGATTGCTGGAATCTGGGCAGGGCTTTCCTAGGGAGACAGAGCAGACAGGAGGATGGGACCTGTCTCAGGGGAGCAACCCTGTGGTCCCCAATCTCATCCCAGGAGGGATTCCCCAGGCAATAAACCTCACTGATCCCCCTGCCTGCATCCAGCTCTCTCCAGAGAACAGGCACAGCATCCCAGAAGAGTCCATGGAGAAGGTTATACACTGGCACCCACAACACTGGTCTGCAGTGGGTGGTCAGCACTGGAGCTGTGCTGAACATGGCTCAGTTCTTCTGGAAAACCTTTAATCTGAGCTGTTCACCTATTTTACACACTCAAGACCCTTCATACACTCCAACACGGAGCCAAACTCTCAGTCTGTGTCAGGACACTTAAAACACAGGGGAATGGTGTTCAGACCAGGTCTGGAATAAAGCCTCTTGTACCCTGAGGAATCACTTCTGCCGGGGGATGGGGAAAGGCCCCTCTTGGTTACTTACAGGCTCACAAGTATAAAAACACTGGATTAAAAATCAGGTGGTGCCTGTGGGGGACACAACCAGCTGACAGGCACACGGGCAGCGTCATGGCATCACTTGGCAAGTCATTTTTAGCCCTTGGAAAGCTGCCCCTCCAGTCCTTACAGCAGGGAAGGGGACAGCTCTGGGGTGAACTGGAGTTGGCAGCTCCAGCACGGCGCCTGGCTCCAGGCACGGAGCCACTGCAAACAAAGGGCTCAGTGAACAAAACCCACCTCGAGAATCCCAGAAATGCTAGAAACAGTTAATCCCAGCGGAGGAAGGGGAGGGGGGACGGGTGGGACCAGAGGCACCTGACTGTATGGGACAGATAGAGACTCAGCTGCTCTCTCCAGGCACGCAGGAGATGGGCACCTGGTGGGATTGCAGCCTGGAGATAAGAGCAGGGCGGGTGGGCCCTGGTGGAGCACAGTCTGCTGGGAGGCCAGGGGAGCTGTGTCCTCCTTCCCAGCCTGCAGGAGAAGGTGATGCCCACACAGGGCACACAGAGGGCACCAGGGTGGCACAGCCACAGAGCAGGGGATGACGCTGCCCGAGAGCCAGGGAAGGGCTGCAGGAGTGTGCAATCAGGGGATCTTGCACCACAAGCTGTGCCCTAGGTCAGGGCTGTCTGCCCCAGGGCTCTCAGCAGAGCACATGTGCCTTGTTCTCAGTCATTCAAGGCTCAAATGTGTCTTTCTAAAGTGATTCACTTCGTGCACAGCAGAGCAGCCGCAGCCAGGAGGAGTTCAGGGACAGCCCTGCAGCTCCCCCCTGAGCAAACAGCTCTGAAGCAAAGTGGTTTCACCTTTGCTCCTTCACCTGGGACCACTCCAAACCCACAGCACACAAACCCACACCCTCACCCCCAGCTCAGGCTCACACCAGTGTCCCCAGTGCCTTTCTGTACGGGAGGGAAGAGAAGCAACTGCCCAAGGGGAAAGCCCAGCACACACCACTGGCCCTTTGCACAGGCATAAAGGAAACTTCAAGGCTGGGCTGAAGGCAGACCTGATGCAGCTCCTGACAGCCTCACCGAGCTGGGAGAGTTTGTTCACTGCCAAGACGGGACAGGACGAAGGTGCTTTCAGAGAATCATTAAGGTTGGAAAAGACCTCTAAGATCAAATCCAACCTATGACCTAACACCTCCACAGCAAGTAGACCATGGCACAAAGTTCCACATCCAGTCTGTCCTGCAGGGACAGCGACTCCACCACCTCCCTGGGAAGCATTTTAGGACACAGAACATTTTCCAGCATTCTAGGACACAGAAGCACATCCTCCACCACATTGGCTAAATCCCAGGGACATGCAAGCTCCCCAAATCCCAAGTGGGAGCAGGGACAGACAGGAATGTTCTAAGGAGAGACAACGGAGCTGTGTGTTAAGAAGCAGCAGCCAGCAAAGACAGCCAAGCCATTACACGGTTAATTAACAGCCACTCACTAAATGCAACGTGTTCCAGGGTTAATTAACAGCCACTAACTAAGGGCACCGTGTTCCAGGGTTAATTAACAGCCCCTACCTGACACCAAGCTGTTACTACAGGTTTCCTGCTGCAGGATGGCTACAGTGATAGCATAGAGTAAAATGTTTGGAATTGTGGTAGTCAAGGTAGTGACAAAGATGGATATTATACTTAGTACAGTGAATTATGGTAGTTAAAAGCAAACCTAGTGACAAAGATAAATATTATCCACCTGCATGTATTTGTCTGATTAATAGGTGACAGAGGTGAATATGATATTTAGTAGAGCGATGCGAACTTGTATGTACTTGCATACCCACCTGCATATATCTGCCTGATTAATAGAGCATTATTTGTCTGATTAATAGATTATTATTATTATAAGATCTTGAAACTATGCTTGGGGGGATTATAACAATGATCAAAGGGAACTCGAAGTTACGCCTAGGGAGGATTATAACAATCATCAAAAGCGACTGGGACCCATGCTTGGGTGAAATCAATAGAATCATAGGAAAGTAATGCTTAGATTCAGGTTGGGAGTCAAATTTAGGTCTGTACCCCGATTCCCACACCTCTTCCATAAAAGCACCCAGATAATCATTCAGCGATTATGTGTTTTCTAAGCTAACAACAGCACCAACAAATAGCTCAGACTGGACAAACCCACAGTGATTTATCTACTCCAAACCCCTCTGTTCAAGCAGGATACCCTTTCCTGCTGGCACCTAAGCACTGTCTCCTTGTCCAGCCTGGGGTCATTCCAGATTCCAGGCGACTCT